CACCAATAGTGAAAATTGAGGATTTGGATATAGGAGGATTTTAGATTCTTCTTGTACTTTCATATAAATCCTCAATTAAGGTTATATAATTCAAATTTCATTTAATCTACATATGATAGAGGAGTTTTAGTCACTCGCACCTCTGAGTTGAAAAACTAATTATTTTAAATAATTTCCTCTTTCTTTTTTACCGTGACTATACCTAATAACCTTCTTTTTTTTCCTTTGTTACATATATTTAACTTTATTTATTTTTCTTTATTTTTAACTATTGTTTTTTTTTTCCAGTCCTAATTGGATATATATAGCTACACCTTCTTGCTGGATTTTTTTATTGGATTTTATATAAATTAATTGAAATAATATTATAAGATTGGGTTTAAATTAAAGTAATGTTATAAAATTTGAATTTTAGTTAATATGTGAAACAAGAGAAGTATAGTTTCTCAATCTATTCACAATATGGTTAATTACTATGTATATGTGTGTGAACATAAAAAGAAAGCTAGAATTGAAAAAAAAAAAAGAAGCAATCAATTCACATAAGTTTTTTTTTTTTTATATGAATCTAGAGAAGAGAGGGGAGAAACGTTAGAAAAATAAAAAATGAACTTTTAAAATAGACCATTTTTTTTATTTAAGGCTCATAACTCTATGTAAGTGTAGTTTTCCCTAAAAACAATTGAAATAATAATAAAAAAAAAAAGAGAGAGAGAAGAAAGAATAAGGTATGTAAGAAAGGAAAGAATGTAGGTTATATATGTATACATGTACAAGTAGGATAGAAAAGAAAAAGTATATATATAAAAAGGTAATTTGGTCCTAAACGTTTAAGTTTTAAAGTTCCAAAAAATTAGGAAAAAGACATTAATTATAACTTTTATGATTAGTTTTTTAACCAATTGTAAATGGACCCTAGCACTCCTCTACATGATAATAGATTGTCGATCACCAGCTATTTTGATAATTGAATTGATTAGGGAACTCAGTAAGAAGTAAATTAATGCTCTTATTATGTTGATGACATGATATCATCAACTAATTAAATGTTGATAAATAGTCACCAATAAATTCCGTTAAATAAATATACTTTTTTTTATGTAACAAAATATAACTAATTGATAATACCAATAATACGATATTACTAGTGTAAGAAAGTCTTTCTAAAACTCAGTAAAAAAATAAAGTGCGTAAGTCCATAATCTAGAGAGAGTGAGGTTCCTAAACCAACAGTTAGTTGATGAGCACCCCAACGGCTAATTGTATTAGTCAAATTTGGGTGATTGTTACAATTGATGGGTCATTCTAAATGTACCAATTTCTTTTGGGCCATTCCAAGTGTAACAAGCTCTTTGGGTCTCTCACTCATTTGCTCATTTAAGATTCAAACACTGTCATTTATTTAATGAAGTAGAAGAGATACATTGTACCACAAGACTCTTAATTTTTTCTATACTTATACATAACACTTTTCTTTAATAATTGATCTTAATTGTGTAAAAATGAAGTTAGCCAATTATCATCCAGTTGTTATAACTATATGAAATTATAAAATCTTCCCTGATGAAAGCCTCAAGTATACATGAATATTCTTTATTCAACATGCACAAACCCGTAAAATGAGTAATGTTTTATTCATTAATTTGTCACAGATTTTGAACCTATTAAAAAGAAATATATATGTAAGCAAATCTGTAAAAATGAAAAACACATCATTGGCATTTAGCTTCATCTTTACATGACTCACCAAATAAAAAGTAAATAAAATCCTTCATCTTTGCATGATTCACCAAACCAAATCGATCTCTGTGTCTTTGAATGCATATAGACTCTAGTGCATGTACCCCCTGCCTATATAATGTGCACTTTCCTCTTTCATTTCATATGATATCACTACTGCCATATATATCTAATGCAAGACTTTTCTTTCATTCATCCATTTTCAGTTCAATTTTTCTATAAAATATATAAAGAGAGAAAATATATATAGAGAGAGATGTCTACATAAAGTTGTGGGTGTGGTGTGCTTGAGGAGGAAAATTTTTGGGTGGGGTAAAGAAATTAAATCCTTGCAAAGTCATATTTTCTATGTCATGCATCAATGATTGTTTACTATTAATCCCTATTTTCTTCCGTAAGCTATGATCTTTACTTTTGAGTGTTTTAACTTTAAAAAAATGACATTTCTTAACAATATTATACCAATACCATCACTGTGGTCATTGTCATCATCATCCACGAAGTTTTAATTTTGTTAGAACCAGGCCAATAATGCTATGTTCATACAATGCATGTTAGATTTGACCTTTAAGTACAACCTGATTTGCTCATTCATAACATGATTTACAATGAATAGTGTATTAATGGGTGCCTTGATCAATTGTACCTTATATTTCAAGGTTGCCCTCTTAACAATACAATTCAATACACTACCATTTAGACACGAAGTTAAGAATTTCAAAATTTTAGTCTAATCAAAGGTGGTTGAGGGTAAGGAAGGAAATGTATGCACCTCAAAGTTCTAATTCTTGGAGAGTACCTATGGCTATGGATGCTTAATACACCATTTCATTTCCTGTTGAGAATTGCTTTTCACATATACCAATGGATGATATGTGTCACGTTCTGTCCAATGAGGTTCTGCCACGAAGCGACATGTAAGGGCTGAGAGGACTTTGAATGGGATGAGTAGGGTGGAGTTATAGTCTTCCATATTTGACATGAAGATTATGGATTATGGTGGAGAGAGTTGGAAGATTCTGTGACATTGAAAGGCTTGTAAATATGTGTAGAGAAGATTCAAGAAGTGTAAGGAGTTTTATAGTGTTGTAATTATTTGTGTAAAGTGTTTAGAAAGTAGACATAATGTCTATATAAAGCGGTAGTCAATTTTGTTGCTTTCACCAATTTTCCACTGAGAAATTAAGTTATAAATGAAAGATAAGATGGGCAATATACTACATTAATTAAAACGGCCAAACATATATGATGTATACAAATATACGTAAGAGCTATTTTATAGAAGTATTTTCATTCTCAGCTAAAATAACTCAGCAGAAGGGCAAAAAGAATTTGGTGGGCCGCTTTTACCTTGTTTTGTCTTTTTCCTAATTATCATATTTTCATTTTGAAGTCCTGACATATCCAAATATTTGAATTTGAATAATTATTTCTATATATCAATACCATAATTTGGGTTTCCCACCATATATTCTTTTAATTTTTTATATTTCTCTAAATCCTTCTATTTCCTACTTTTTTTTTTTTTTTTTAATATTTCAGTAAAACCTTTAATTATAATAAATAAAGAGATATCAATTTCCATTTTAAATAGTAAACACATTTCTCTCTTGGGTGGAAAATGCAACTAGTTTGGTTGCCCGTTGTGTGTGAGGTCGCCTTGATCTAAGGATTTTGAATCCTCGTGTTCATTTCTGGTGCTTGATCTAACTTAGTATGAAATTTTGTACCTTAGTGATTTCTATGATATTTGATTGGAATTTCCCTTTCATTTTTCTAATATTCAAGCAAATATATTAATATGAGTAAATATGTACGAAGTTGAAGATTTAGAGATCGAGCCCAAAAAGAAAGAAGAAAATAGCATAAGGCGAAATAGACAAAGAGACGGATTTAATAAAAAGAAGAAATAGACAAAGAGACGGATTTAATAAAAAGAAAAATTAGTGAGGGTTTTAATAAAAAATAAAAAGAAAGGTCGGAAACTAGAGTTTTTTAGTGGAAATTGAAATTTTTGAAATTACCACTGGTCAAATCACATGAGGCATATTTGATTTGTATATAAATATATATACGTACAATTATTAAATATCATATGTATAAATATGCATATTTTATCACAATTTTTTTTAAATTAATGTTCATTTAATATGTTTAAATTCTTTATATTTAAATAATGCAAATGTTTTGAATAATATAATAAATTTAGTAATAGAATTGTTTTAAATAATAATATTATTAAATAAATTCAAATATAATTTAAATACAAAAAATAATTAATATAATATATCATTATTATTATTATTTTTTTTTATGGGTGACAAGCACTTTTTTGATGGCTTTTATCATTACAAGAGTCAAATGAATTCACTATTAACCGTTACCAATTTCCATTTTTTAAATTTCAATGAAAATTTTCTTGCTTGAATAAACTCATAATGACCCAATTTGGTTGAATCTTCCATTTTGTTTTCTTCCTCAATAAAGTGTTTCCACGAATTCTAATACTGCCACCACACCAAACTCCACAACCCACCAACACATGCCCGCCCCCACAACCAACACCATCCCCACCCCAAAACCACCGCCACCATCTCCACCCCAACAACCACCCTTGCGTATTCCGGCATGATCTAGCACCGATGCCACCACCATCCCTATCTCCACCCTCACAACCACCACCATTAACTTATTACCCACAATAATATTCCCTTACATATATTTATTTCAAATTTTTAGAAAGGTTAAAAATATAAATTATTTAATAATTGATTTTTTTTTTTTTTCTCCTCTCTTCCCCCAGTTTTGGGCGGATATCTTTCCCCATCTTTGCTTTCATTCCCTTCAACCAAACACGAAAGCGTTGTTCTATCATCCATTCCTCCTTAATTCTTCCCTTCAACCAAACAAAGCATAAAAGACAAAAAGATTCACAAAAAAACTAATTTAAAAAATATTTTACAGACCATTGCCAAACACAAAAAAATAAAAAATAAAGAAAATATTTTATATGAAAAGTTTTGTTTAAAAAATATTTTACAAAGAAAACATTTACGTTCAAATAACATCTAGACTTGGCTTTCAACGGGGATGATTTTGTAATTTTATGTAGTTATAAGGTATAAGATATGGGGCACCTGATGGTTAATTGCATGCAGGGCACCATTAAGATCAATTATAATAAGTATAATGAATATTTACATGAGTGTGTGTGTGTGTGTATTAGCCCATGAACAAAAGGACCAACTTGCCATAAGGCAACAAAAAAAGCCCAGTTGGAGGCCCAAAGAACTTGTTACATTTAGAATGGTTCAAAAGAAACTGGTACACCAAGTGGAACCCTACACCTGATCTTTTCTGTTGACATGGCACTAATCCATTAACGTGCCAAGACAACACCCACTCTTGAACTGAAGAGGACACGCACAAACAGGGCATCCGATGAGAATAATACTCGTATATAGTTGGTTTCCCACGGACAACCTATTCACCAGGTCCCATCCATCCTCTCTCTTTCGCTCTACTCTTTCTCTCTCTGAAATGTTAGATACACATGACATGTACTAGAGAGCTCATCAGCATGTTCTTCAAACTCGAAGCCGAAAACATCTTATAAACAATTAATAACAACTTTAAACGTAAGTCCATTCTCATCACTTCAATTTTTTATAATTCGTTTGATTTTTTGTCTATTTAGTTTGGTTAATTATCTGTTTATGTTTGATACTCTATTTATTCAAATTAATATTACACTGTAGTTCATAAGGGTTTCTAGCATCAAAACTAGGTTTTAAGAGCTAGCTCCTTTTTCACTTGATTATTATTGTTGATTATATACATGCATAGTTGTATGTGTATATATGCTTTGTTTTGTTCTGTGTAGAGCAAGGTTGTGGTCAAATTAGATGCCGATGAATATAATTCATGTAGGCCGTGGATCTCCCAAAGTTATATTGTCTGAGCCCACGGGATCGACGGCTGAGGTTTGTTATTTTTCCATCATTTTTTCTAATATTCTTGATGGAATTGACATATAATGATAGGCTAGGAATTTATGTGTAAAATACTTGTTTTGGTTTAATTTTGAAGGAGACAGAGAGTTACGGTTGTGTGATGTTGTTTGATTGGAAAGAAAGAACTTTTTAGATTGATACAATTAGAGACTTATTCAATGTGAGATTTTTTCAAAAACCAATTTTTTTTTTTTTTTTTGTGGAATTGTTGATAGTCAAAATTGGCATTTGAAAGCTAATTAGGTGATGAAAAATATAGTCAATCTAGAGATGTAATTAGATGTTTTCATCTTTAATCAGTTGTCACATTACCGGAGCTGACAAGGTTTGTGTTGGGAGTATTTAAGTGAGAAATTGAATTATGTCCCCATTCCCAATGATTAGGTCAACTTAATTATGCGTGTTTCCGCATATATTTTTAATTTGATTGTAATACTAAGTAATTGACTGCTCCCCCTTGATTTCATCTGCCAAATAATTTTTGTAAAGGAATTCTCTGCTTGTTTGAACACCATCTCATTCAACATGAATTGGTTCCAGGTGCTTCTGTATGGCGGGCAGGTTATTTCTTGGAAGAATGAACAAAGAGAACTGCTTTTTACAAGCAGCAAGGTGAATCAATTCTTTTTACCCGAGGAATTTAAATTTAATTATATTACAGTTAACAACCATTTTGACATCTAATGCCCAGATGGTTCGTTTTTTATGTGCTAGAATTCTGAAAATGCTCATTACCGGCCTTTTGATTTTGAATTACCCATGTCTTCTCCTTATGAATTTTAAGAATTGTGTTTTTTCCACTTAAGAGCTAGAAGTTGAATTTTATTTTATATAATTTGAATTTGACACAAGAGACCATTGCTTTATATGGTAGTAAAAGCACAGGCTAGCAGACCTGAGAGTACAAGTTTGGGCTGACACTCTCCAATCCCGCTCAATTAATATCTAATAGATATTATTTTGTTATTCTTGCTGTAGTTCAATTTTCACAACCTCTATTGAGGGAAAATAATGTAACTATTGCCCTCACATAAAGCTTTTAGTTTTCGTGAGTATTGTAATGAAGCTAGATTTTCCAACATTAATTAACATAATAGTAAATAGTATAATGTGATTATTCATTTTAAGATATGTATTGTGGATTGTAGAATCCTTGTTAAAATGATGCGGAACTATACTTAAAGATCTTTAGATTATACACTCTAGACTATCTAGTAAGTTAACTATTAGAAAAGGGAACATGAATCTTCACATGTATATGCATATTTTCTATTTCATGGTTTACTAATCTTTATGTTTCACTTTAGTACTACTTATCAAAAAAACATTTCTCTTTTGTATTAATTGAAACCCTAATCTAATCTTGTTTGAAGCAGCAAACCAAGTTTGCAATTGTTTACAACTGTCCTTGTTTGAGTTACTAACACTCAGCTACTACATAAGAGTTCTTGCTATGTTCCACAAGCTGTTTGGAAACCACCTAAATCCATCAGGGGAGGTATACCCATCTGCTTCCCGCAGGTTGGCTGATGACAAAATTAACAATAATATTGCTTTTGTATTCGTAGCATACATAGATATTACGTGAATATTCCAGTTTGCAAATTTTGGTTCACTGGAGCAACATGGATTTGCAAGGAATAGATTGTGGTCGCCGGACAACTGTCCTCCTTTGACTCCCGCTAATAATCAATCTTATTCTGAAGTCTACTGAAGAGTCTGAAAATTTGGCCACATAAGTATGAATTGTATGGTATTATAATGTATTATAATAATGTGCTAGTATATCATTACTTATTTAGACATTAAAAAAATATATACGGTGTTTTCTGCAGATTTGAGTTGCGGCTTCATATTTCTCTTAGTGCTGGCAAGCTCACTCTGATTCCTGTGTGAGAAATGTGGATAACAAGGACTTCTCATTCACGTTCCCACTGCATAATTACTTATCTGTTTCGAATATCAGGTTTGCCAAGTATTTACCTTCTTTTTTTCCCAACTGCAACGATTATGGTGTCATTCTGTTCTTTTTTTTTTTCTTCTCCCCGGTAAAACCTCCCTGTCATCGTGATAGTAACTGAGTTTGCAATTACCTTTGATGATGAGGTACCATGTAGCATGTACTCTGCTTTTGTTCTCAATATGGTGTGTTTTCACAATTGGCAAATTAGGATTGAACTCGGGACCTTGGGATTGCATATTAACTACCATAGAATAAGTTAAAGGTTCTATATTTTATCTAGTTTTTAGTGATTTGGAATTAAGATTTTCTTAATATTTGAACTTTCTCAACCATTTTTAAAGTTGTATTGTTTTTTGGCCTTTAGATCGATCGAGTGTATTTGAGCACACCACCAAAGATTGCAATAATAGACCACGAGAAGAAGAGAACCTTTGTACTGCGTAAAGAAGGCATGCCTGATGCAGGTTTATATTGTTATACTTGTATTAGAGCTCCGTTATTGTCACAAGCTTCATTTGTATTCCTGATGCAGGTTTACGTTGTTATACTCGTTTTAGAGCTCTTTTGTTGTCAGTCTCGATTTCTCTTTCTTGCTTGCTCATACGTGAATTTCATGTGGTGGATGTACAATTTTATGGAATCCCTGGGACAAAAAGGCCAAGGCTCTCCCAGATTTGGGCGATGAAGATTACAAAACTATGTTAATGGAAGAGCCATCAAGAGCTCACTACTGTGTCATCTAGTTATTGCAATGGGCAGCTGGACCCTCGCAATGTTCTCGGCTTTTGCTGATCTCTTGCATGAATTAAATAAATGGGGTTCTGTAATTTTAGAACAGTCTAATTTAGTGTACAACATACATGCACTTGCTCGACTGCATATAAGCATTGTTGTGTCCAGCTGAACGTAATATATAGTAATAAGCATCCAAGAGTCACAGGCTTATCAATGAGAACATCCTCGTCTTGCCTTTTGTAACAGTGAGGAACGCACGGTTGGTACCAAATGTGACTTGATCAACTGCCTCTTTGTAATTGTGACGATTGCCTCTTTATTTTTTGAATCGTAAAATTGTTGAATGGATGGTTGTCAGTTATGACAGTCCTTGTCATGACTCATGCATGAATGGGTGTTAGCTACACATAACGTATAGAAGTAGGATTGATAAAACTTGGATTTTTGTCACCTGGATCAACTACATTTTGAAACATATCTAAGTTTTGATGGGGTTTTACAAAAAAATTTACCTTTTGATTAAGGTCTTTCCCTTTCTCATTAGCTGTATATACACCTGGAATTGAAGGATGACATGAGGTGTTTACACACTATTCAATCTGTGTATTGTCATGTAGCATCCTCTATCAAATCAACTTTTAGAAATTTGGTTTGTGCTCTTTGGCCTTTTAGCTATTGGTCTTGTCTGTAACATTGTAATGGATTTACATAATAAAATGATTGTTCTGTTGTTTGTATTAGAACATTAATTTAATCATGGTGATTATTAAGGTAAATTAGGTAATAATTCTTTAGCATGTCAGATTAATGGATCTTCCTAGTTGTTTTATGCATGTTCATTGCTGGTGTTCCACCTCTTTTGTAACATATGCATGTAGATCTTCCTAGTTGTTTTATGGACGTTCATGTTGCTGGTGTTCCACCTCTTTTGTAATATATGCATGTCGATCGGCTTCTAGTTTTACAGGAGAGCTCGACTAGTTATTAATTTGAGGTTTTGTAAACAAATATTAAGCATATACAAATCATATAATTGGAGTGTTAATAGAATATTACCGAAGTCAAAGAAGCTTTAGTTTTTTGGGAAATACTAATCTATATGAGCTTTGAAAACAAAAACAATTTTTGGAGAGCTACAAAAGCATGTTTTGAATTAAACATTATTTACTTGATTTTTAGATAACTGTCGACCAAACTAATTTTCTAAGCTGTTGCTATCCATGTCTCGCATACTCGTCCGTTTTGATATAATTGAACAGTTGAATGCAAATTTTTCTTTAGCAAATGCACATGTTCAACTGTATTTCATCATTTTAACTTAATCCAAAACGTCAGTCGTCTTTGGGTTTTAAAACTTCAGTTATAGCATCCAATTTTTGCACCAAAATTCAAACAAATGCATAACATTTGCGTATTTTAAACTACAAGTGTGGTAGCAGATTTAGAATGAAGCTAACTTATGATTGCAATAAAATCTGAACATGGTTCAGACAAAGTTGGACCATTCGTAAAAAGTTGCAATTCCCCAAGGTTAAAAGTTGCAGCAATCAAATGCACCAAGAGATTTAGAGGTTATAACAGACCAAAAGTAAAGAAAGTAACATAAAAATGTTGTACAAAGTCCAGATCCAACTCTTGGTCATGCAGCAAGCAGTCTTCTATCCTTTATATTTCCAATTAATACAATGTGAAACAGTGTAGTGGTAGTAGTATTATTTTTTGAAAGTAACAAATTTTAACGGGTGGACGCTTACTCATTTACTCAAAAATTCAAGTTGTTAAGTAATATTGCATACTCATTCATTTATATCCAATCACTTTTTCATCCGAATCCGATGTTGGACAAATGACCATTGTTACACAAAGGAAGTAGGGGTGTCAAAATGGGTCACAACCTATTAACCCGACCATATCCGCCCAGTTTTTAATTGTTTTGGGTGAACCATATTTAAGGTGAGTCAAAAATGGGTTAGGTAATTTTTAACCACTTAATTTTTTACTCATCACATAATAGACATACAATACACATCTATTTTACATTGCACACACCCCATTTCTCTCTCTCTAAAATTCTCTAACTAACCATCCTCTCTCTCTCTCTCTCTCTCTCTCTCTAAGTTTGTTTTTCGTCAATCCCCTTTCTCTAAGTTTCTCTCTCTAGAAGTTTCTTCTCTTTCCTTCACTTCTCTCTCTCTCTAAAACAAATCAATAAATATTGTTGAGTTTGATAGTGTTTTTATTTTTATTTTTTATTATTATTTATTTATATAAATGTACATATAAATATGTATGTGTATCTCTGTATTTTTGTTATAAAAAATAATAATACATTATTATGATAAGAGAGATGCACATGAACTTTCACTATTTAAATTGAAAATTTTCTCTTTTTGACAAATTACGTCTATACAGAATGCCGATATATATATATAGGGCGTGATTATCGGGCCTTTTTACTTCATTTGCTTCTCTTCTATTTTAATACAAATTTTACCATATTCATGTGAGTTGAAGGTTGAAATTTCATAAAATAATATAAAAGTATATTTTTTAAAAAAAAAATATTGAAGAATATATATGTACTAAATGGATTTTTTAAACTTGTTGCTTTCAATTTTTTCTTTTTTCCCAAAGCACATCCCCTACTCTATTTTTATTTATTTGTTTTTTTCAGTTATGTAAAATCACCAAATCCCAAAATCTCTTGCTTCCAACAATTGCACTTGAAGCGTTCGTTTTCCTTACTTAACATATTTGTGAAAATGTGAGTTCTTAAAATATATCACAACTTGAAGGTTGGGAGTTCGAATGTAACGACCCTAGCTGATGCCAAAATTTTAAAAAAATTCGGCATGACCTCCCCTAAAAAGGAGACTACAACCATCTGCTCAAATAAAAAAATAAAAAAAAAAACGCAATGGCCCTTCCTGGCCTTTCAAAACACCTCCAACCTGTCCCAACACATAATAAAATTAATACACTCCAACATCCCATCCATCCGTTCATTATACCTCAACGTGGCTCATCTCATAGTGGAACATCTACATATCGTTTAATCCAAATTATCATAATTACAGTCCCAAAATATAGTGACAATAACAAGAGTTTCACGAATCTCTATAACAAATATAACAAACTAAGATTTTACAAAAATAGTAAAAAGAAGTCTTCTAATCCAAATTAGGCCTGTGGTGGAAAGTCATCCGCCACTTCTTTCCCGTTTCCTGAAAAAAATTATTAAATAATAAGGTGAGCATAAAGCTCAGTAAGTAGCACTTAAGACACGCATCTTGTGTCCTTGTGAATCAATACAAAGAATAGATCAATAGGAATGGGGATCATACAATATCGGGATAATACAACATTCCAATCAAACTCGAGTACAAATAATGCAATGCCATGAAATGCGAATGCATGTCGATGTCGCTCCCCGTTTTCACATTTAAAATCCATCTCTTTCAAACTGTTAATATAACCCGCCCTTTGGTGACCTCGCAGCGACACGAGAGGAAGATTGGTTAGTGTCCCTGACCCTTGGTAACCCCGCAGCGTCATTATGGGGCCCAGCTAGCTCAACCACGCTAGAGCGACTCCCTAGTCCCCTCTAGGCTATATTAACACTCCGGCCCTTTGGTACCCCCGCGGCGACCGGCTTTTCATAAAACCATTTCGTAAAAACTCTTTTCCCAAAATTTCCCTTTTTGTTTCAAGCAAATTCTCCCATTTCATGCAAACCCAATGGTATGTACATGTATATATATCCCATGCTTTCAATATTATGGTATTTAGAATTTTACACCACATAATTAAGCATACATCATATTTAACATCTCTAAATGAATTATCAACACATTAAACATAACAAGACAACACAAAATTTTACACCACAAAATTAAACATACATCATGTTCAACATCTCCAAATGAATTATCAAAACATTAAACACAACAAGACAACCTCTAAGCATGTTTTTCTACTCATATTCATAATCATGAATTTTCCTAAACATCATTTATATAATCATTGAAACAATTAACTTCCAAATTAAACATGCTTGTCACAACAAGAGAGATATAATTCACAATGGAGCAAGAAAAACATGGATTAAGAGTCCCTACCTCTAAATTGAACAAAACCCTTGAAATTGGGTCCTTAAATTCGAGCTCCCAAAGAGGACCAAAAGCTGGAATTTCTGGTACTAGCACGTAGAGCTCGTCGTGCTCATCGTTTTGCCTCAAACGGCACCTAAATCCGCCAAGAATTGAGAGAGAAATTAATGATTGAAGTTGAAAAAGAAAAAAGAAAAGAAAAAAAACAGGAGCAGCGAGAGAGAGATTTTAGCTGCCCGAGAGAGAAAGCAAATTGGAATTAAATGGGTCTATAATGACCCTTATAACTCAGGTGGGCCCCACAGTTGAAAAGTCATTATACTAATTATATATATAGATAAGTCAAAAACTTTACATTCTCCCCAACTTTAAAAAAGATTTCGTCCCCGAAATCAAGACATACCTGGAGAAGAAAACAACTCTGGATACTTGGAGCGAACCTCCTGTTCGAGCTCCCAAGTAGCCTCCTCGATTCCGTGGTGTCTCCAAAGGATTTTCACCATTAGTATCGTCTTGTTCCTCAACACCTTTTGTTGTGTGTCAAGGATCTGAATTGGTCCTTCCTCGTAGGAAACATCCTCATCAATGTCTACATCAACCCAACTCAAAATGTGAGATGGATCTGGCTCGTACTTCCGTAACATCGATACATGGAAAATATTGTGGACCCTATCCAACTGTGGTGGCAAAGCAAGTCTGTAGGCAACCTCTCCTACACGGTCCAAAATCTCAAATGGTCCAATGAATCGTGGAGACAACTTGCCACTTTTCCCAAATCTCATCAATCCCTTCCGTGGAGAAACCCGAAGAAAAACGTGGTCTCCCACCTCAAAGGATAACGACCGTCTCCGCTTATCCGCATAACTCTTCTGTCGACTCTGAACTGTAAGTAACCTCTGTCTTATCAACTTAATCTTCTCAGTAGTCTCGAGTACAATGTCAGGTCCTAAGGCGGCTGTCTCGCCTACCTCAGTCCAACAAACAGGAGACCTACAAGGTCTACCATACAACGCCTCAAATGGAGCCATCTGAATGCTCGCCTGATAACTGTTGTTGTAGGCAAATTCAATAAGTGGAAGGTGATCTTCCCAACTATCACCCAAGTCAAGCACACATGCCCGAAGCATATCCTCCAAAATCTGGATAGTACGCTCCGACTGACCGTCAGTCTGTGGATGGAATGCCGTACTCAGGTGCAACGCTGAGCCAAACGCTGCTTGAAGTCCTTCCCAAAC